AGTGAGTGTGTGTGTGGGGGGGAGGGGGTGAGTGTGCATTGTATTTTACACTTGATGACGTTAAAGTAAGAGCTCTTGGATCAGGACGATTCTTCAAGGAGTGGGCGAGGATGGAGTAACGGGCTACAACTTACAATATTCTTTATTCTCAGACTTGGAAACGGTATCTCATCATTGGACCAATAATTGTGGGCCCTCAAACTGGAAATCCCTAAGAGTGTTCGGGTACAGGAGGTAGCCATCAACTGTTGAGCCTAGTTAGAATGTTGGTAGGATTGTTATTGGGGTATTCCTATACGAACAACAGAAAGCAGCAATTTTCACTTATTATTGCCTCCTGAAAAGCTCATAAGTAGAAAGAGAAAAGTAACATGCTGCCAAAGTGATGTACATAAAACTGAGAAAAATAACACGTACAAACACCTTTTTTCACAGTTTACAAAAAAATAAAAACCTGACGTTTGTCAACAAGGCTAATAAAACCTACAATTTTCCAGTGTCTGGTATATAGCACGTTTTTCCTCCGAGTTCAAATAAATTGACACTACAGTTCGAAAGGAGGAAAACACCAATGCCAATGATGTCACTTAAGTAGAATAAAATCCTCTTTAAAGATCAGCAGTGGATTGCTAGTGCTATCTGAGTCAGTGCAAAAAGGTTATCCCTTGATTTGAAAAACAAAAACTAATTATCAGAGACTGAATTACCTTTCCAAAAGAAGGCTCACGAGATGAGAATTGCTGACACAATAAAGAGACAAAGCACAACATTAATACACCAGGAACAGGTTTCTTTGCTCTCTAATCCTTGGTAGATTTCTCTGAGCGCTACTATGTTGATTTGAAACCCAGGCAGCTCTTCTTTTTTTCTGTAGTGTGCGATGGGTGTCTTTAAAACGCTCCCAGTTCTGTTCAACGTTGCCAATGTATCCCTTCTTTTGCTCGCTACTTTTGTCTCCTCATCCCCGTACTATTTTCCTTTGGAAGGCCTTGTGGTCTCGAAATGTGATTGTTCAAACCCATTGGGTGGACATGTCGAATTGTGTACTTCAAGGGGACGTCACTTCATAATGTGGTCTTCAGTCCGGCTGGTGCTGTTCATGTCTGAGATCCTTGCCCCAACGTAAGCTGTATGTTGTCGACTTGATTCTGGTCATATTCTGCGACGTCTATTATAATTACCTCTGCTTTATTAAGCCAAATTGTCACTGTTATCCGTAGGAGCATCACCAGTCCTACCAAACATTGAAAAACAAAAGGTCAAGTGGTTCGGACACCTCAAGCAGATGACCTCAAACCATTCAGCTCTGGATGGAGAGCCAGAGGAAGACCAAGGCGACGATGGAGTGAATCTGTGGCAGACATCCTTAGAGCTCACGGGATGTCCCTTCTACAGGCCACTCGCCTTGCCGCAGACAGACGCCTGTGTCTCCCCGCGACACCCACTGGTACAAGCGAAAGAAAAAAAAGTAAAGTAGTAAAGTCACTGTTATCGAACCGATTTCCCCCACTCTTATTTTTATTGAATACTGTATGTGTCGGGATTTTGGCGTATCAATTTACCACAATCACCCGTTCGTCTTCTTTTAAACCTGTACCGTCAAAATTGTCTGCAAAACTTGGGGTTTCACAACTGGTAGTATTCCTTCCTCCTCCCACATTGCAGACTACGTTGTCTTCGATACCATCATTTTAATCTTGACCACAAACAATCGAGTATGTAGAGTAGAGAGTTACAAACCGTATGCCTACTTACTTCATCCGTCCTCTTGTACCTCTAGGGCCTAGGGTATCGCGGGGAGAAAGAGCTTCACTTCTCTAGCACGTTTGATGGCCTGGCTGGGTGGGATATTGTATGTTCACAGGGTATCCTTCACACCCGGACCCAGGTCTTTCTTCGTCTTCCTCTTGCCTTGTACCCTGATACTTTCCTTTAGTAGGCTTTACAGGCAGGCTGGTTAGGTGCCATACGTGTTAGATGTCCAAACCACCTGATTGTTTGCTGTCGAATGTTGTGGATGGCAGGTGTTGATCCCACCATTTCTCTGATCTAGTTGTTTCTGACCACGTCCCGTCTGGTTTTGTTGACGGCTCCCCTTAAACATCTCATCTGGCAGGTGGTTATCTTACGTTCCTGACTTTTGGTCAGGGTCCATGTCTGGCACTGGTAGGTCAAGGTGGGGATGAAGATAGAGTTAATGAGCTTGGCTTTTGTCTCAATTGAGAAGTTAGGGTGTTCTTTGTACCGCAGGCTGTACGGAGTGTCTCTGTCAGCGTGGTCTTGAACACTGACCATGTATCTTCTGCAGTCATGTTTTAACTGTCTACTTCTTTCAGCTTCTGTGTGACTTCTGTCTCCAATTTCTTGTGGCACTTCTTCCTTCTAGAGTTTTCTTAAGTTGATCTGTCCGTCTCTTTCTTTCATATTCCTTTTCCTCGTTCTTTCACTCCGCTACTTTGTAAATAAGATAACTGTGGTCAGTGTCAAGGGCTGCATTTAGGAAGACTCTAGCGTCTGTGACTCTTCCACTTTCTTCTATTCGTGTCAAGATGAAATCAATCTTTGATGATACATTCAGATCATACCATATGTACCAAGTTTGTTTCTGACTGGGGCTGTGTTGGTAAAAGGTGTTTGTGATCCACAGTTCGTATTCAAGACACAGTGCTACTATCAGTTTCCTGTTGTAATTGTACTCGTAAGTGTCGCTGTGTGGGCCAAGGTACTGGTCCAAAGGCGTTCTTCTCTTGCCCACTCTCCCATTGAAATCTCCCATGACAATAAGTTCTTCCTTGTCTGGGACTGTGCTTATGGGGCCTGCAATCTTCTCATAGAATTCCTCTTTTCTTTCTTCGCTGTAGGAGTCATTGCAAGTTGCATAAGCTTGGATGAAGTTTGAGATCTTTTGTTCTCCCCTTATTCGGATTTTAATGATTCTCTCCGAGATAAACGCTGTTTCCAATACATTCTATGCTGTATCCGGGTACAGAATAAAACTTGCACCACGCCCTAGTTGTCCCATCCCCGCAACTCGAAATCAGGACGTAGTCCTCATGGATCTGTTTGATTCCAGTTCCCTTCCATCTGCAGTTTGAAATTCCCATAACTTGTATTCTCCATCTCTTTATGAAGTCAATAACTTCTGGCTCTTTGTCTTTGATTCCACAAACATTCCAAGTGCTCGTTCTTTCTTGTTGTCCTTTTCCATTTCCTGGTCGTTTTCCGTTTCAGTCCGTCCGTTTCTTTCTCCTATGATTTTCTTTAGCAATAAATATGCCATCGGCTATGACGTTTCAGGGTTACCCGGGATGGTGGTCATGGCTACCGCAGCGGTCGTGTGAGTAAAACCCACGCCATACATATTCCAGACGCAGCATTCCCCTACTTTGTCCTTTTCCACCTCCCACACAAACCTTCTGCAACACGTACAAATTCAGAGAACGACCAGTATAACTTCAAAATTATTTTATAAGGGCCTTCTGAGAACAATTCCTCTGTTTAAGTCCTGATGGAAACCCAAGTAGTCCACATTCAATATGATTTTTTTAAATGTCCTCTTGTGGACTGTCAAACCTCAAAGGGACGACGATAACAACAAGAACCACAACAACAACGACAACAAAAACTCTTGAACAAGAACAAGAACAAGAACAACTAGCCTAGCTATGTCCACCTCCAATTTCTGTGATCGAGAGAAACTGGTCAAGACAAAATTTTCCATCACTAGTTTTCCTCATTGCCATCGATACCACTTCCTTGTAGGCGTAGGTCCCTGTTGTCAGGGCTCTGGGCTTGCCCTGGGTTGAGGGGACGGCGGATACCACGGAAAGTAGGTTTGAAAACCTTGGGTCTGCCTCGTTGCGCCTGGCTCCCTTGGAGAAGCTCTAAGGTGGTCGGTTGCTCTGATGTTGCCGGCTGGAGTAGTGGGTCGTTGCCTAGGTAGAGGTCACGTGATCCCTGCGCAAGATATTTACGTTGCTGATTGATGAACTTGATTAAGATAAGATAGAGATAAACTATTAAAATTGTTTCATTGTCTCTGCGGAGAATTTTCTGTGCCTTTACAGGGATGGTGAAAACACATAGATAAGCACTGAATTTGAATTGTATAATTATTACTTTTCTAGGAGAATTTCCATAAGAGGAGAAAAATAAAAACTGACGAAAATGTGTATATTTTTTATTATATCTCGACCCACATGCAGGATCTTATCATAGGTTTTGAAAGTTATATAGGCATATTCGTAGATATTATGTGCATAGTTATTTTTTTTAAATCAACAGCAATTCACATTAATATTCATTTCGCAGACAGCCTTATTGAATACAAATGGAAGGACACTTCTTTTGAAATTTTCTTTGCTAGTTTTTGGTGGTATGTAACTGCTGCTGCGTGATCTCAAACTGTTGTGAATAGGGAGTGTGATAGGTCGTTCAACATTATTTTTATCTATTTCATACATGTGATTTTATATAGTAAATCTCTTTATTAAGATCACATTCAGAGATCTTGCCGGCTTTCTTTATGAATCGGTCAAATTTTAACTTAATCAGCCATTGAAAAGTATGAATTATGAAACACGAGATTGACGACATTTGTCATTTTTGCTTATAAATGTTATTTCGGACAGGATATGTCCTTAATATAATCAGAAAAATAAAACTGATACCATAGGTTGATTTGTTAAGAGTAAGACAACATAACAAATATCTATTATTAGCCACACTTTTTCCGTTTCAGTCAAGGAAAAGCCTTTATCATTGACGACGATTTCATTAAGAGCAAATGCGTCTGAAGCAAACAGAAATCGACAGAAAAGGAAGTCAGAGCTTAACAAAAGCAATACTGCTAAAATTTCACGACGAGATGCATAGCAAAAATACCACAACAAAAAGAACTGTGACAATCATAACACAACAGCAGAACTGTGGCAACCATAACCCAAAGACAAAATCATATTTCGAAACGAGAAGCCAACAAAGCACGACAAAAGAATGTCCATAAATGACAGACGGCTTTTAAGAGGAGAACACAGATATACATGCTCGGTGTCTACGACGTAATGTTTTTTCACCATTGCACGAACACAATTTTAGTTCAATTCCCAAAGGGGGCAAACCTATATTATCGAATGTATCTGTCTTTGTGCTGGGATGCTGTACATGCGCATCTCTCTCTCTCTCTCTCTCTCTCTCTCTCTCTCTCTCTCTCTCTCTCTCTCACACTCTCTATCTCTCTCTCTCTCTATCTCTCTCTCAGTCTGTCTTTGTCTCTCTCAGTCTGTCTTTCTCTCTCTCTCTCTCTCTCTCTCTCTCTTTCTCTCTCTCTCTCTTTCTCTCTCTCTCTCTCTCTCTTTCTCTCTGTCTGTCTGTCTTTGTCTCTCTCTCTCTGTCTTTGTCTCTGTCTCTGTTTCGCTCTTTCTCTTTCTCTCTCTCTCTCTCTCTCCACACTTCATTTATGTAATTAACGTATCTATTTACTTAATTATTCATGTATTTTTCTATTCATTTTTAAATGTTATATTCGTTCTTTTTTCTCTTTTGATTGGGGGAGGGGGGGGGGTATACATTTGCAATTAATAATAGTGTCAGTCGATCACATGTAACGAGGATCATGAGCTACTAAAATTTATGAAACCTATTCCCGTGTCCAACAGGTATTTGTGCTTAATTCACAGGTTCAATCTGGGTTATCGAATACAATTAACATATTTCCAAAGTTCAATAAAATATGCTGTTCTGTTCAACAATATTTTCCTCGAGAACTAATCAGAAACACAGACCAGCTCAAGAACGACAGTAATAAAATATTGTTAATCAATAACATATTTACAACACAACTTTTTAAAACTACAAAAAGAACAATAATTCTCTCACTTCGCCAAGCACACTATACTGACCCTCCTGATGGCTTGAATAGATGCCACTCCTGTGCGATCCAGACTTCCAGCCCTCTGCCTTAGGGTCGTCGACAACTGCGTACGTTTGGACCGGAAACCTGGCGCCCTCCCACGTCCCTGCCGGACACTGTCGAGTTCTGAGAAGAGAGCGTGTCTGTTCAGAATCATTTTTGTTCAAGGCAATATCTGGGAAGGGAACTACCAATGTATGTTTCTGCTTATGTTGATGAAATTAAACAGCCTATGAGAGCAATGTATGAAATTTAAAAGAAGAATGACTTCGTCCATTTGTTTTTGTCCATATAGAATCTACTGTATACCAGTACGTCTAGGATGCGTGTTGGGATAAGACGCTGGTAGACTTAAGAGCCACAATATTGGTATGGTATTAATCGTATGACCATTGGATAAGGCGCATCAGTTTATTCATGGCAAGCATAATCACCTTTGTTAGTGGGTTTTTTTTGTCATTATAACTACACTTCAAAACAAAACAAATGTGACGTTTTTCTTTGCTAGGTTTTTGTTTCTTTTGGGGTTTTTTAAGGGAGGGGGGGGAAGGGAACAAACGTGTTTTTTCGTTAGAAGTCTTCGATTAAGATCTTCAAAGCAATAATTAATAGTTTTTTGTAACACCGATAGAGCCTATTACTGCGATAAATTGTCTAGAATAAAGGAGGAGAACACAATGTGGATCGCCAATTAAGAGGGGGTGGGAAACCTATATCTATCTCGGCTATTACAACCCCTAGAGAGCCCATATTTTACTGTGGGTCATCACGTCTTGTTGGGTATCTGAAATCGATAACTAAACAAAGTAGATATGGCTTGGTTACCATGGAAACGGCGGCAATATTATATTTTGTTTACATATTTGGATCCCATTTTATCCACAGACACACTTTTCATTTGGCATCTGCGTAGAATAAGCACAGATCTATAAGATGTCTCGAGGAATTTTTTATACATGCTTTAGTTTCCGTTTTACGGCACTTGAAACTCGGCTTATTGCATAAGTAACAAAATAGAGCTTTCTGAAGCCATTTATGAAAACCAACTTATTTTTATACAACCAAAAACTCCTCCATAACAATTAAAACCATTAACATCCTGTGAAAGTGTGAACGTTACAGTTAAATCAAATAAGAAACAGAGCATAACAATCGATCTATCTATCTATCTTCTATCTCGCTAGATGGAATAGGTGGAAAATATGAAGAGATTCTAATACTCGAACTTCGAGAAGGCACACTATTAATATGTAGCGTGTTGTACATCTTCCTTAACCGTGCTAAGCTAACCGCGACACGGAGGATCATCGACCAACTAAATTTGTCGGATTTCACACTTTCAATGTTATACATTGCAAAAAATATACATTAATTAAATACAATCCAAAAATGGAACGTTGTTGTTTTTTTCTCTAGTCCAGAAAAAAAATCTTGCTGTCTGGTTTTACAATATTAATTGAAACAATATTAATTACCGACGATATAAACACACACACAC